GAGTCGTCGCCCTCACTTACAGAGATGGATTCCTGGTCCTTGTCTCGCTCTTACCGGATAAGATTTTTGGTCCTTACCATATTTCTCCAGTGAGGTAATATGACTTGGTAAACAACTCACCCGGGTGCACAATCTTCCTCCATATCAAATTCAGAACAATTTCGTTATGCATGTTCAATGTACCCAACGCAACTTTACAATCACGTAGACTGTAGAGTTTCCGGAAAAGAAAAATTGGGCCTTAAATGGAGTGGGTCTTTTGGGCCTGATTCTCCCACAGGCGGGTCAGTCTTCTTTTCAAGTTTGAACATCCGAGTTTCCCTCTTTCATCCTGTTCCAATTCGTAGATCAGGTGTTTGTCGAAATGCCTCAGAGGAATTCCGGCAATATGGATCAGCTTCCTATCGTCGTTCTCTGGAGATTTCTTCAAAATCCGGCAAGATGGATCGCCTTTTGCATCGACCGGAAGGAAGATAGTTTCTTCAAGGAAAAACAAGAAGTCCAAAAAAGGCGTTTCAAAACCGCTTAAAGAATCAACGAAATGATGCCACAAAATGTGCAGAGAAGATCTACGAGAGTGATGAGAAGAAGGCTTCACGTCGTTGTAATGGGGGAAACCGTAAGTGCAACGTCTATTTTCTTTATAATTTGCAATAGTTCAATCAGTTTGTGAATTCTAGTTCCAGGTGATTCAAAGTGTTTTAGTTAGATCAATTTTAATTTATACGAGTGTGCAGTCCACACCTTGTACCCCGTGATATACATTAACTGTAAACCCCATATTCTCTTGTGAATCCAATTACGCTAAATGAATCGATGATTTCATTAAAATCATCAACAATTCGACTTTCATGTCCAACGTGAGTTCTTTCTGAATTCAAATGAACGGATTGCGTTTGAACCAGCTTGTGCGTGCCTCAATTAATCTCATGAGACTAACGTTGAGGACCGACCCTGAGGAGACTTTAATCGGCAACTACGGGGAGGATCCCCAAGGCCTATTATTTACTTGTCAGGATCGGACTGCTTTTGGTACAGCAAAGGGGCCTTTCCTCGCTTCTGTAATTTTTTTATATACAAGTTCAGTATGTATTATGTATTGAACATAAGCAAAAACATCACTAACAGTTGAACAATAATACTATTGCGATCCAATTCCGAGATCAATTCGACTATGGAACTCATCGTCCCACATTTGGCACAACATAGAACATGACAAAAACTCATTGTTCTACGTTTGGCTTGACACGGAACTAACAAAACCTCACTATTCCACATTTGACGCAACATGGAACAGGACAAGAACCGGGACTGGGTGTAACAAAAAGGCTTTTTTTGTGTTCCATCAAAATCGTTGGAACATAATTTACAAAGACGTAAAGGAAACTAAAAAATTACTAATATATCCTCTTTTGATATAACTCTAATGTGATATATATTTGCTTTAACGGTCACCGCCACCAGCAACCATCTCCACTACAAACAACCTCTTCCACCGCTACCTCCATCATAACCCTTCATTGGCTACTAGTCGTCTAGTACCACCTCCTCCACCATCGTCATGTCCTCCATAGTTTACCGTCGTTCACCCACCGGCCACCACCATTTCTTCCTCCACCACCACCACCTCCTTTGACCGCCGCTACAGCGACCATCGGAATTTCTTAGCATATTTTTCATGCGAAACAGTGTCGTGACATAGTTATAGCTGCTATATGCATTCTGAATCTGATTGTAGACATGCAAATTATTGAAGTTATATTATATTGCTGTTTCTTGACATAAGCTTATAAAAATCATGTAGCTTTTTGACAAAATTGGTAAGCTTCCTGGATTTAAGATGAAAACTTTGAAATTATGCACATTTTTATAATGCTTCCTTTTATCTGATCAGCATTTCTGTTTGGCAGTTTGCTGGAGTTACACAGCTTTATTCTTAACCCCTCACTAAGCTTTTTTATTCTTCATGAATGTTTAGTGGACCCCACCCCCAAAATATGTTGTATTATATTAAAGTTTAAAACTAATAATGAAAAGCATTAATCTGATCTGAGATGAAAAGCCAACTGATTTAGATGAGGGTTAATCCGAATAGTCAACATTGCGATTCAAGTGATGTCAATCTATATATCAAAAGTATATAATATGGTGTTTTTTTATGATGATTGACGATGTTAAGTAAAAGTGATATGACATATACTATTCATTTAAAAATAATTATTGATTGATTTTGCGTCCAGGAGTACTCTACTAAAACGGTTTTATATGAATTACTAGTGTTTCTTGAATTCAATGTTATTTTTAATGATAAAAATAGTAGCATTAAAGATTTTTTTTCATAACTATAATGGCCCTTTTTTTACATCTCACTCAAGGCCTATAAAATGTCAGGAAGATGTCTGACCATTCTATTCCTTCATAATCCTATAAACCAAACACCACCTAAATGATTTATTGTTAGCCCTTTTGTCTGGAAAACTAGTATTAAATAGCCTTTAGATATTCTACACTCGTTTATAGTCAAAAAGTTTATGATATTCTGTTAAATTACATATAAAGACTTTCCATATGGCCTTCTCAAGTTTTCGACCTTCCAAAATCTGACTCAGTATATATAATATATATATATATATATATATATAGAGAGAGAGAGAGAGAGAGAGAGAGAGAGAGGTTGGTTTCCTGTGAAAATGGAAGTTTTGGTGATAAGGGATCTCCATCTTTAAATCAATGTTAATTGAAAATCAACACGGATCATGTGCAGCGAGATGTACCGAATCAATTCCCGTTAGAAACGCAATTCATGGGATGAGGGTGAGATTTAAAGTGATCAAGGGTCCAGATCCCTTCTTAAGTTTCTCACTTTAACTCCATTCTCACACGATCCTTCGTATATGTATATATATACAGGGAGCATCAAATGAGAATGCTACCTATTTAAAAGAATATGAAAAATGGTAAAATCATGTGCAAAATAGTTAGTCGTTAGGTCGAGGGGTAAAGTCGTGTGAATCACATGTGATGTTAGTGTAAAATCAAATGTAATTCGACCATTTTCTTATTCTATAAAATAAGTACCGTTCTCGTTTGAACCCGTCTCTCTCTCTCTCTCTCTCTCTATATATATATATATATATATATAGGGTATATTTCTTTTACAACCTTGTGTATTTGTACAACCCTTGCAACCCAATTAATTGAGATATTTATAGAAATGATGGGAGTTCGTTTATTATGATTTGAATATTTATGGAATATGAAGAGTTCACTAATTATGATTAATACTTTATATTATGAAACAATCAAAACTTCTATGAAATCACATATTCATCAAATGAAATGGACAGTTGAGATTGAGTTGTATAGGTTGCACAAATGTCAAGGGTTGTATAATAACCAACCTCTATATATATATATATATATATATATATATATATATATATACTAATGAAGTATGAACTTCTTTTTGGTAACTATGGGTGAATGAGTGTCCGAAGCAATTTGTGCACCCCTCGACTAATTCTATGGGGGTTCAGAGAATAGTAAAAAAATCGCTAGTAGCTTAGGATGGAATCAAACATTGACCTACGAAGTCTGAACTTAGGAGTTTTTAGGTCGGATTTTTTTTCTTTGAGTAATATGATAGATAAAGATTGGTGATGTGAACGTTGGAAGGATGTAATTTTTACAAATATGCCCTTTCGTTTTATCAAATGGATTGCAATCGATGGATAGTATTCTAATATTTTATTAGTCATCTTTTTCTTTCTTTCCCTTTCTTTCACATTTGAAACGAAACTCATCATTTATTTCCTTCCGATTTCTTTTCTTTTCAACCTAAAAATATCGAGAACATGGTTTGTTGTACACCTTTTCCCTCTTTTCATTTCCTTCGGAAAAAAAGGTCTCTAGAACGTCTCTTAGGCCATCACTGAAGTTGCGTTCTCCGGTCCCTTTCTACAAGAACGTGATTTTTTTTTCTCTGTCCTTCCTTTCCCTTTCCTCTCAAGAAGACAAGTAAATAACTTCTTTCTTCTGGGTTTTTTTTCCCGAATTAAATAACACAAATGGACCTATCGATCTGCTGACATGGTCTTACATATTTAACTGTATACAACACAAACATGATACACCGTCTACACTATCTTATAAATATTTAGGTGAAACGAATAAATTTCAAAAGTACAATATCTATGAAACATTTCAAATCATCAAAAATGCATAAGAAGTTATGGTTTATTGAGAATATTCGGTTGAAAACATGTCTTACGTAAACGAAGCAACAAAAGGTGAAGTGGGATTCACGGATGTAAAAAGAGTCCAACAAAGGTTTGGTTTCAAAACGTCGAAAACAAAAGCATTTTTTTAACACAAGGATGGTGCTTGATTGGTTTGAATTTGGCTCCAAAGGTTAAAAATACCTGGAGGTCCTAGGTTCAAATCCAATAAGAAATAAAAATCACCTTGTGGCCATGGAGGTTCAAATGCGGTGACTCTGGGCTATCTGCAAAGCAGGTGGTTGCCCTGGAATTAGTCGGCTCGCATAGCGGGTTGGATATCCAAGTTAATAAAAAAAATGCACTTTTTAAATATCTGGTTATTTTCGTTTATTACTTTTTTTTAAATCATTGTAAAAAATGTAAGTTATATCTTTGAGTAAAGATTTTTCCCCTTCTTTTTTAATCTAAAAAATCAAGTTTACACAAATACGTAAAACATTTACGTAAAGTCTAACTAAAATAAAAATTCGATTAAAAAAATGACTAAAAACTAATTTGATTGAAAAAATTGACTATTTTTATCGACTGGACTCTCGTTGCATCATCATAAAAGCATATAGAAATATAAACATAAAACGTGAAAAAAAACATTATTTCCCCCTCGTGGGTAGGGACCATTCTTGTTTGCATCTTTTTGTACTTTATATTTATTCTTTAAATCAATCGCAGAATAGTTATACTTTAAACGCCCCTGCACTTTAGATAAGGACGTTGTTATATGCATACTTATTTATATTAAAATCAGATTAACTTATACATTTGAAAATATAGAACGGTGAATCTAAATTAAACAACCGAAAAACATAACATCCAAACACTCCAAAATCTGCAAAAATATTCGTCTTGCATCATCTCCCATTGTGTTATCTCACTGTACTTAACTCGGATTTCATCAGGCTTCATGTTCCTATACAGGATAGCTTAATTGCATCCTTATGATTGCTAAATGCATATCTATGTGCTAAAAAAATTATAACACATATCAATATCAGAACTCTTTTTTATATTTCAAGTGTACGATTGGACTTGATTTTGACTTACGTAAGGGTACATACAGCATCACCCGTCTTTACATACATCTACCTCCGTAACCTGCATTTTTGAAAAGTATTTGCTTCATATCTTCACAACTCATCATGGGTTCATGCTCCAATCCCTAAATTCGATTTCGAAATCAATATATGCATATAGTAATATGGATATAGACGGTGAGAACACTTATGAACTTTTGGATGAGTTGACTTTTTAGTCTAACTTAGTTTTATTCAACTGTTTTTCAATATATTTAACTACATTTTATCTACCTCCAACTCCATTCATTTAAATTATTGCACATGTGCATACAAGTAATTTTTTAAGCAACTTGTCCAAGTATGCACACATACATATCGTCCATATGAATGATTACCATTACCAGAGTATTCCTTAATTTTTTTTTTTTTTTTTTTTTTTGGTTTTTCCTTCAACCTTCCTTTACATAGATAGATAGATATAGATTCATGTAGTGATGAGGATTATGATGAACATACCTCAGAACAAGAAGCTTGAAGGAAGAAATCGTTGAAACAACTGATGACACAGTGTTGAACATCTAAACCTAATGCTTCAAGTGTCGTCATCGTCGATAACATCAATCCGGGCTTAGCCGAACAGCAAATCTCGATCCGGGTATCCGTGTTTCGTCTCTCTACATCAAACTGTTTCACATAATCACTCTATGTTCATCACAAGTTCATCAATGGCGGAATAAAGATGGTTGGTTACCTTTGGGGGACTTCTTACTTGAACTTCATTCACTGTGAATCCTTTAAAGCTACCCACCAATTTCGATCCATCTATTTCTTCTTCTTTCAGATCATGAATCTTCCCCAGAAGTTCTTTCATATAATCGATCGTATCCCCGAGAATCGATGTTCTATCCATCTGTTCAAAATTCAAGAAAATCTAGAATAAATTCACCTTATTCAGTCACCTATATACAATGTTTAGTAGTATTTAATGATAAAGAAAGTGACTTAATAAGTTTATAGAGACATATTAATCCATACACACATTTTTATTAATACAAGACTTAATAGAAAACCAATCAAATTACCTTGCTGATCTTGGGAACAATTGATCTGAGCATGGAAAGCCGATCGTTTAACCGTTTCCGCCGCCGTCTCTCCGCCATCAAATTCTTGGAAGGTTGTCCTTCAACCCTCTTAGATTTACTCTTCTTTTCACCATTCCATGACCCCATACTAAAAACAGTTGGGATTTGATCATCAGAAACAACATTCTTCTGGTTCTCATGAATCTTGTGAATGTAATCATCATCTTCATCTTCTTCCGCGGTTATTAGGGTTTTGAATTCCTGTTGATCTGGAACGGTTTGCTGATCGTATAACGATGAAGAAATGGAATCAGTGAAGGAGGTATCCAAAGAGTAGATTGATTGATAAAGGGATTGGAAAGTGGGTTGTAAGAACGAAGATGAGTTTGTGAATATTGATGAATATGAAGGTGAAGGGAACAGCAGAAGGTCATCTTCACAATGAATAAATGTGGAGTGGGTTGGAGGGAAGAGATCCTCCAGAAGAGCTTGTTGAGTTGTGGGTTGCTGCATCTTTGTGAATCAATGGCGATTTGGAAGGACAGCTGCATTTTTGGCTGAATATATATAGCCATCTCAATCTATTCAATTCGAGTGTCTGATTACAATCCAATTATTGATTTTCTTTTAACAAAAGAAAACAAAAATATCATTCTGTAGGAATGAATTATGTCGATAAAGATGCCACCTTTTTCATCTTTCCGCATTTATATAATAAAGTTTTAATAATGATAAGGTGGTGTTTGATTGGTTTGAGTTTGACTTCAAAGATCAAAAGTATCGGGAGGTCCCAGATTCAAATCTAATGAGCAATAAATATCTCCTTGTGACCACGGAGATTTAAATTCGGTGACTCCGGACTATCTGTAAAACAAGTGGTCGTCTTGAAATTAGTCAGTTCGCATAACGGGTTGGATATTCAGGTTAATAAAAAAAATTAATTTAATATATTTAAAGAAAATAATATTACATATTCATATTTTACGAGGGAATTTAATTTTGAATTTATGTGAATAAGAGAATAGAATAGGCATGTGTGCCGAACAATGCTCTTCTATTTATGGGTTGGACTCTTACGTAGTGTAGGTAACCGTGACTTTTTATTATAAAAATTAATTTTTTTTATTAACCTGGATATTTAATTTGCTATGCGAGCCAACTAATCTTATGATAACCACCTGTTTTGCATGGAGCCCGAAATCACTGTATTTGAATCTCCGTGACTACAAAAGGATTTTTATTTTTCATTGGATTTGAACCTGTGACTTTCAGATACTTTTAACCTTTGGAGCTCAAGCTCAAACCAATCAGACGTCACACTTGTGGTTTATTAAATCTATTATCAGGAGAGATGGTAACCATTTTTCTAGTAAATAAAATTGATTAGGAATCTAAAACCATTTTCTCGTATTTATTTTCAGGATGAACATTTATCATAAATATATAAAAAATATTATTTATTATGAATTATATATTATTAAATTATATATAATGTATGATAAAGAAACAATAGCAACCGAGTCATATCATAGAAGCATTTTCTTTGTTAATTAAAAATATGAAGGAATGGGCAGGTGAAGCAAAGACCACGTGAGAGTGACACGTGGGAGTAGATCTGATACATCCACATCTCAACATGTCAGTTTATGTACATAAATGGGGTGTATATAAAGCATCCGTTACGTCCTTTTTAGGATACTATTGCAGTATTTTTCCATTAAAAATTATATTTTTTTTTGGAAAAGTACAATAAAAATCAATGAACTTTCTGGTTTGGAATGATTAAGTCCTTGAACTTTTTTTTGGAACAAATAAGTCCTTGAACTTTTCAAAACATGTTAAATAAGTCCTTGGACAATTTTTTGGCACAAATAAATCATTGGATATTCCAAAACATGTTAAATAAGTTCTTAAACATTCCAAAAAATGTTAAATAAGTCCTT